CACATAGTAGTCTTCCTTTTCATTCATCCGTTTACGTGCATGTGTGTAAATGTAAGAATGGTGCTGCAGCATATGGAGGTCAAACTACAGAAGGCTGGTTCTCCCTTCCACCATGTGGGTCCTGGGGATTGAACTCAGGCCAACAGGCTTGGTAGCAGTCACCTTTGCCTGCTGAACCATCTCGTCTACCCTATGAGGCAGAATCTTGACATTATGGCAGACAGTGGGTGAAACAGGAGACTATGCCGCTACTAACATACTTCTGTTCAATGGTAGCCCCATAAGATTGTATACGCCACTGGGGCATTGTTGTGGGAGAATATGCCGCTACTAACATACTTCTGTTCAATGGTAGCCCCATAAGATTGTATACGCCACTGGGGCATTGTTGTGGGAGACTATGCCGTTACTAACATACTTCTGTTCAATGGTAGCCCCATAAGATTGTATACGCCACTGGGGCATTGTTGTGGGAGACTATGCCGTTACTAACATACTTCTGTTCAATGGTAGCCCCATAAGATTGTATACGCCACTGGGGCATTGTTGTGGGAGAATATGCCGCTACTAACATACTTCTGTTCAATGGTAGCCCCATAAGATTGTATACGCCACTGGGGCATTGTTGTGGGAGAATATGCCGCTACTAACATACTTCTGTTCAATGGTAGCCCCATAAGATTGTATACGCCACTGGGGCATTGTTGTGGGAGACTATGCCGTTACTAACATACTTCTGTTCAATGGTAGCCCCATAAGATTGTATACGACACTGGGGCATTGTTGTGGGATAATCTTTTTGCATGCTATGAAAATATGTCTCTGCTGAGATACCTTCTGATTGGTTTAATAAAGAGCTAAATGGTCAATAGCTAGGCAGGAAAGGATGGGCGGGACTTCAGGGAAGAGATAGGGTCTCTGGGAAGAAGAGAGAGGAAAGACATCATTGAGACACTCACTGAGGAAGGCAGATGTACAGTATGGAGGAGAGGTAATGGGCCACGTGGCAGAAAGTCGGCTATATAACCAGGTTAATTTAAGTTATAAGGGCTGGTTGTAGCTGGGCATTGGTTGCTTAGCCTAGTGATGCAGTGTGGTCTTTTTTGTTAGTGTCACTATGCTCTGAGATGTCCACAGAATCTGAAAGCTTCCCCAGATCATGTTCCTCAGAATGCATACCCATGGTTAGGCAACATGTGACTGCATTCTCTGTAAGGCGATATGCTTAGGAACACTAGATAGCGTGTTAGCAAAGCACTTGCAGGCTTTAAACATCAAAGACAAGTTTGGTGTGGTGGCACACACCTTTAATACCAGTACTTGGGAGGTGGGAGCAGATCTCTATGAGTTCCAGACCAGTGTGGTTTACATACTCAGTTCCAAGTCAGCCAGGTCTACATAGAGCAGTAGTTCTCAACCTGTGGGTCACGACCCCTTTAGGGGTCTAATGCCTTTCACAGGAGTCACATATCAGATACTTGCATGTCAGATATTTACATTATGATTCCTAACAGTAGCAAAATTACAGTTATAAAGTAGCAATGAGAAGAAAAAAATAAAGTAGCAAAGAAATAAATTTATAGTTGGGGGTCTGAATTAAAGGGCTGCAGCGGTAGGAAGGCTGAGAACCAAAGGCATAGAGGGACCCTGTCTCAAAGCAAATGCTACAGGACCCCAGTTTCCAGTTTCAGGACCCTGTCTTGGGGGCTGTGGCTTTGTTCGGGTCTCCTACCACCCAGAAGGAGGGATGCCTCTTGGTGGCATGTGCTTGGGGCTCATCATAAGGGTCATGCCTTTCTTTTTGGAAAAGTTGTATTGTGTTTATTTACTCTCTCCCTCTCCCCCGCCCCTCTCTGTGCACACATACAAGTTTCTGGAATGGGTTCTCTCCTTCCGTGGTGTGGGTCCCAGGAATCGGGCTTGGTGACTGGAAAGAGCTTTACCACGGAGCCTTCTTGTCATCCTGGAAGGGCCATGTGGTGGTTTGAAAGAAAATAATCCTCAAAGGGATTGGTGCTATTAGTAGGTGTGGCCTTGATGGAGGAAGTGCGTTCCTGTGGAAGCAAGCTTTAAGGACTTGCATATGCTCAAGCCATGCCCAGTGTCTCAGTTCATTTCCTGTTGCCATCTGATAAAAATGTAAGCAACACTCCTCTCCTCCATGGCCTCTGCATCAGCTCCTGCCTACAGGTGTTTGAGTTTCTGGCCTGACTTCCTTAAATGATGAGCTACAATTTGGAAGTTAAGTGTAGGGCAAATAAACCCTTTCTTTGCTTTTGGTCATAGTGTTTTGTCGCAGCAATAGGAATCCTAACTAAGATGCCAACCATCCCTCTTCCTCGGCCCCTGGTTGACTCCTCTGTCCAAAGTGCTCCATGCTCCATGTCAGCACCATGTATTCCTGCATGCCACAATGTCCTGCCATGATGACAATGGACTAAACCTCGGAACTGTAAGCACCCCATTAAATGTTTTCCCATCCAAAAAAAAAAACAAAAAAAAAACGCTGGGCGTTGGTGGCGCACGCCTTTAATCCCAGCACTTGGGAGGCAGAGGCAGGTGGATCTCTGTGAGTTTGAGGCCAGCCTGGTCTACAGAGTGAGTTCCAGGACAGTCTCCAAAACAATACAGAGAAACCCTGTCTTGTAAAAACCAAAAAAAAAAAAAAAAGAGTTGTCATGATCAGCTGGGTGGTTAATCCCAGGACGAAGGAGGCAGAGGCATGAAGATCTCTGTGAGTCTGAGGCCAGCCTGGTCTACAAAGTTACTTTCATGATAGCCAGGGCTACACAGAGAAACCCTGTCTTGAAAAACCCAAACAAAACAAAACAAGAGTTGCTGTGGGTGTGGTGTCTTTTCACAGCAATAGAAACCCTAAGACATGCCGTCTAATTCTAAAGTCTGAAAGTTCAGCTCTCCTCTGACTCCACCGGGTTGAGCTCAAGGGAAGGTGGCTCCTGTGATGGAGGAGGGGAAAGGTAAACAAGGGAAGGGGCAACTCTGCAGTGCATGGGTAAAGGAGCCCACCAGGGCCGAGGAAGACGGATGGTTGGCATCTTAGTTAGGATTCCTATTGCTGCGACAAAACACTATGACCAAAAGTTGAGAAGTAAAGGGTTTATTTGCCTTACACTTAATTCCAAATCATAGTTCATCATTTAAGGAAATCAGGCCAGGAACTCAAACACCTGGAGGCAAGAGCTGATGCACAGGCCATGGAGGGGAGCTGCTTACTGACTTGCTCTTCATGGCTTGCTCAGCCTGCTTTCTTATAGAATCCAAGACCATTAGCACAGGGATGGCACCACCCACCATAGACTGGACCTTCCCCATCAATACCTAATTTAAGAAGAAAAAAAAAGCCTTATAGCCATGCAGTGGTGGCTCACTTCTTTAATTCAAGCACTAGGGAAGCAGAGGCAGGCGGATCATCGTGAGTTTGAGACCAACCTAGTCTACCAAGAAAGTTCCAGGACAGCCTCCAAAAGCTACAAAGAAACACTGTTTAAAAAAGCAAAACAAGCCAGGCGTTGGTGGTGCACACCTTTAATCCCAGCACTCGGGAGGCAGAGGCAGGTGGATCTCTCTGTGAGTTCGAGGCCAGCCTGGTCTACAGAGTGAGCTCCAGGACAGCCTCCAAAACAATACAGAGAAACCCTGTCTCGAAAAACCAAAAAAAAAAAAAAAAAAAAAAAAGCAAAACAAAAAGACGGCCAGGCGGTGGTAGTGCACGCCTTTAATCCCAGCATTCGGGAGGCAGAGGCAGGTGGATCTCTGTGAGTTTGAGGCCAGTCTGGTCTGCAAGAGCTAGTTCTAGGACAGCCACAGAGAAACCCTGTTTTGTTTGTTTTTTTGTTTGGGTTTTTTGTTTGTTTGTTTTTCAAGACGGGGTTTCTTCTCTGTATTGTTTTGGAGGCTGTCCTGGAACTCTCTCTGTGGAGAAGGCTGGCCTCGAACTCACAGAGATCCACCTGCTTCTGCCTCCCGAGTGCTGGAATTAAAGGCTTGTGCCACCAATGCCCCAGCTGGTTTTTTTTTTTTAAGCCTTATAGAGGGTCTTATGGAGGCTTTTTCTCAATAGAAGGGCCCTCCTTTCAAATAACTCTAGTTTGTGTGTCAAATTGACGTAAGATTAGCCACCACAGTCAGTTTCCTCAAAGTGCATAGACCCTGCTGGGTGTAGCCTTGCAAGCTAAGGCAAAGAGTTTTATTCTCTTGGAGTTTTATCCCTTGGAGATACTGGGAATACTCAAATTGCTGGGATGCAGTTCCACAGAAGTTGTAGTTCTCCATATGAGCAGCAGAGGGCGCACCCAGCTAAATGCAGAGCGAACTAGGGCAACCCGCCTGGGAATTGGGAGACGTTGGAGGTGGACTCTACAGTTTATGATAACCATGCAATGAGAAGCTGGCTTTGGTGATGCTCCTCCATCCTATCAGCACTTGGAGAAGGAAGCAGGAAGATCAGGAGTTCAAGGTCATCCTTAGCCAATCTGGGCTATGTGAAATTTTGTCTTAAGAGTAGAAAAAAAAAGTGGATGAAAGCTACACATAGTGGTTATTATAATCCTAAAACTTGGCATGCTAAGTATGGCAGGAGGATCTCAAATTCAAGGTGTGGTGGTGCATGGGGCCATCCTGGTCTACATAGGGAGTTCCAGGACAATAGCCAGAGCTACACAGTAAGGCCCTGTCTTAAAAAAAAAAATCAAGGCCAACCTGTTCTATATAGTGTATCCTTGTCTTTAAAAAAAGCGGGATAGGGTGGGTGGAGATTGAGGAGTGTCCTCCCACCCTTGGGAGCTCTCTTAAAAAACCTTTTCCTGGCCTGGCATTGGTGGTACATGCCTTTAATCCCAGCACTCAGGAGGCAGAGGGATCTCTGTGAGTTCGAGGATAGCCTGGTCTACAGAGTGAGATCCAGGGCTGTTACACAGAGAAACCCTGCCTCAAAAAACAAAAACAAAAAAAAAAAAAAGAAAAGAAACCTTTGCTGCTTTGTCTCCATTTTTTAATTGTTGCTGTTGGTCGTTGGTTTTTGTGATCAATGGACCAGAGAATTTGAAGACAGGGAGATAAAATCAAGAGGCTGGATAGAAGATGGCACCCTTACCCTGAGAAGCTAAATTCATCAGCGTTGCAAAAACAAAAAACAGAAAAGGGCTTGGCAAACTGCAGGGAGAAGCCCAGTCACTTGCAAACTAACAACCCCAGCAAAGGGAAACATGAAGGTCAAGCTATACAGTGATTTAACGGAGGGAGCACCCTCTTAGCTGTACCGGTGCCGTTTATCTGCTCATTGTCTCTTCTGGCATTGTTTCTGTCCTCCCGAAGAGTGCTCCTTAGCGGGGTTTGCACCTGCTTACCAGGCTAAGCACAGCTTTTGTTTATTCTGGCTGAATCCTCAATTCACCTTCCTCTTCAAGGATAGCTATGCTGAATATTTAATCCTAACGTGGCAGTTGTTTTCTTTCCATCCTTTGAGAATATTATTCAATTATGGTCTGTTTACCCTTGCCGGTGATAAATTTGTCAGTTCAAAGGTTGTTTCTTTGTAGATGATATGGATTTGCCTTCTAGTTGCCTGGAAGAAAAATCCGTTTTGTTGTGTACATTTTCAAATACTGCAAAACAGAGAGAATACAATGAATGTTTTCATTTCCAAAATCTAGTTTCAAAAGTTGTCAATATTTATCTCTATTCTGCTCATCTCCCCCAAAGACCTCCACCAGACACAGCCCAGGCTAGCCTTAAAACCTATATGTATCTGGGGATGACCCTGCATTTCTGATCCTTGTGTCTTTATCTCCCAAGTGCTAGGATTAAAGGCAAGTACTGTCTTGCCTGGTTTAAGAGTTTCTGGGAATCATACATAGGCCTTTGTGCATGCTAGGCAAGCTCTTTACCAGCTGAGTGACAGCCCTAGTCCCAGACCACATTAACTACTATGCACAAAAACAAAGCTAAGCCATGTAATCACCATTCTCTGAAGGTTGAGTTAGGCTTGCTGGGGGGATCAAGCTGTGAGTCCAGGATGGCCAGAGATGAATACAAAGCACGACCTTGCAACCAACTAGACTGAGCTTGAGTGTGTGGGAACCAGTTGTCCTCCCCGTGAATGGAGGGAAGTGGAAACCTGCCATACAGGTTGGAGAGAAGAGTCCTGTCTCAGATGGAGGAGAAGAATTCACTCCCACTCCCTTTGGAAGAAGAGAGGCACCAACTTCAACGGCCTGAGTTCAGTTATCTGAAGCCAACTTGGATCCTGAAATATTAAATAGAAAACTCAGGGGAGAATGGGCAGATGGGGATATGTCTCAGTAGGTAAAGGCGCCTGACACCAAGCCTGACAGCGTGAGCTCCTTCCCCAGAACCAACTGGTGAGAAGAGAGAACGCTCTGAAAGTTGTCCTTGGGTCTTCAAACTTGTGTATGGCATATACGCCCCAGCTTGCCCCTTCCCACACACATTCCTTTCTGTTTTCCTTGGGCTCATCCTTGTCTTCCCCGTCCTCCTCCTCCTCCTCCTCCTCCTCCTCCTCCTCCTCCTCTTCAACTAGGGTTGTGTTGTGAGGTCCACACAATGACTGATCACAATGTAGATCAGGTTGACCTTGAACTCCCAGAAATCTGCCTGCCTCTGCCTCCCAGGAACTTCAGGCATGCTCTACCCAAATGGCTTTAAAAATATTTTTAAAGATTATAATGCTTTCTCTAATGGCAAAGTTTGGGAGATAAATGTTGTAAGATATAGTACAACACCTTTCTCTAAGAATTTCAAAATAATTAATTGTGAAAAAGTTAAAATATAGCTATAAAACAGAGCAGTGACTGAGTTGGCTTATCACCACCATGACAAAATACTTGAGGTGATCAGCTTAAAGGAGTAAAGTGTATTGGGGTTGATGGTTTTGAAGGTTTCAGTCCATGGCCTTGGCTCTGCCATTTCTAGGCCAGGCGGGGAGTATGTGGCAGACAAAGTTGCTCACCTCCTGGTGACTGGAATTAAAAAGAGACAGAGAGGCCCAGGAGGAGTTACAGTCCTTCCAAGGACCAGCACCCCTCAACTGGGTGCAACCTCCTAAGTTTGCATCACCCCCCAACAGCCTATGGAATTATGACACTGTCCAAAGATCAGTCTCTTGATAACATCATAGCCTTTAAGATCTGACCACTGTGAGTTCGAGACCAGCCTGGTCTACAAGAGCTAGTTCCAGGACAGCCTCCAAAGCCACAGAGAAACCCTGTCTTGAAAAACCAAAAAAAGAAAAAAAAAAAAGAAAAAGGATCTGACCACTTTCCAAAGCCTTGTCCTGAACACAGCTGCATTGGGGATTGAGTCCATAACACATAAGCCTTGAGGGGATACTTGGGATCCAAACCACAGCAGGAAGCAGAGTAGGCTTTATTGTGTGAGTTTTCTCTGGGGAGTTAAAAAAACAAAAGTCACCCCAGAGAGAACACAGACAGCAGAACAAAGTATTTAGTGATTCCAAAGTCCAACTTGTTGAACCGGTGAATTTACTGGGCTTTCTTACAGAGCATGGGTGAGGGGTTATTTACAGAATTGTGGGTTAACCGCCCCCAACAACCAGGCTACTAGAAAATCCTACCCCAGCCTGGATGATGATTTCCCCACATCCCCTCCACTAAATAAACTCACACTCTACTTGCTATCCCTTTTGTGTGCTGTTTTTATTGTCCCTCAAGAATTCTGGATCAAAGTCTACATCTAGTATCTCTTCTGTGGGTGACCATTCACAAATATTGCCCCTACTACACTGAGCACAACTAATAACTCTTCCTTCGTCCTCTCAACTACTAGGTCACATTCAAATTCTCCTAGCTGTCTCAAAAATGTCCTTTCATCTCCAGCCTGTTGGCATTGAACTTAGTAATTATGGTTCCTAAATTTCCTTTAATCTAGAATAGGCTTTCCCTTTCTTTAATTTCGTGTGATGACGACATGCTGGAAAACTGGATCAGTCATTCTGTGGACTGCCCTAATTTCTGGTTTGGTCTCTCACCTTCCTCATGATCCCACTTAACCTGCTTTTCTCTCCCCTCTGATGCTGCTACTTGGAGTGCAGTTCTCAGGGCTTGAGTAGATGATTAGAGGACAGTTCTCATGTTGGGAGACCCCTTTGGATCTGGACAGGTTTTTGTTTGTTTGTTTGTTTGTTTTTTGTTTGTTTATTTTTTCGAGACAGGGTTTTTCTATGTAGACCTAGCTGTTGTTCTGGAACTAGCTCTTGAACTCAGAGATCCACCTGCCTCCCCCCCCCGAGGCAGGGTTTCTCTGTATTGTTTTGAAGGCTGTCCTGAAACTCGCTTTGTAGACCAGGCTGGCCTCAAACTCACAGAGATCCACCTGCCTCTGCCTCCTGAGTGCTGGGAGTAAAGGCGTGCCCAGTTTGTCTTCTCTTTTTTAGACAGTTTCTCTATGTAGCTCTGACTCTCCTGGAACTCACTGGTCTCAAACTCACAGAGATCTGCCTTGCCCGCCTCTGCCCCACAAGTGCTTGGATCAAAGGAGTGTGCCAGCGTGCCTGGCTGAAACAGGAGGTGTTTTAAGCCATTGAACAGTTAACACAATAAGAAAGTAACATTAAGTTCTCAAAGGTGTTTTATTTAGCTAGGCGCTATGGCACGCACTTACAATCCTAGCATTAGGAGCGGGAAGCAGGGGAAACACAGAAACCTCATCTCAAAAGGAAAAAAACGCAGGGGCATGGGCACCCTGCATAAAAAACAAACAAACAAGCAAAAGACAGGAAAAGGATAAACAAAATGAATCCTTACCAGCACCTAAGTTTTATTCATATTCTATTTTCCTTTAGGGAATAGAGCCCAGTGCTTTATTTAAAAATTATTGAAGCTGGGCAGTGGTGGCTCATGTCTTTAATCCCAGCACTTGGTAGGCAGAGGCAGGTGACTCTCTTTGAGTTGGAGGCCAGCCTGGTCTACAGAGTGAGTTCCAGGACAGCCAAGGCTACACACAGAGAAATCCTGTCTCAGAAAACAACAAATTTTTTATATTATAATTTAATACAGCATTTGCCCTTCCCTTTCTTCCTTGTAAAGCCTCCCGTGTACCCTTCCTGGCTCTCCTTCAAACTCATGGCCTCTTTTCTCACTAACCGTTACTATCAATATAGCTTTTGAAATAATAGTAACCACATAAACTTTTTTGAATTTCCCATTAAGAATGGATATATGGCTTCATTGATGTTTTACTGGAAGACTGAATGGCCCAGATTGTCCTCATCTGTAGGGCATTCTGGTTGGTCTTTAACACTGGTGCCTACCCTTCCTTGTGTGCCAGCCAGCTGCTTCTCTCTGGTGTTTGTGGCTCCTATCTCCTGACTGGCTATTGGAACTTTCTGCTGCTGTGTTTGCATCTGCATGGAAGGATGTGACTCAGGCCCTTTGCGTGACTGTGACATCACCTTTACCAGCACAGATTATAACTGTCTGCTTTTTGAGAAGTCCTTTTGCAGTTTTACTTCCTGTACTGTGCATTGAATCCAGGACTCCATGAATGCCAGGCAAGCATTATCACAGTGCTACTGCAGGGGTCTCTGCGACCTCCACAGCCAGCAGAGTGACATCCAAGGGAGGCAAGAAGGCAGTTTGGTTCATAACGGCTAAGCCAGTGTTGGTTTAAACTCCAGTGGCTTATTTTATGCTTTTTTAAGAATTATTTTTTGGTTTTTTGAGATAGGGTTTCTCTGTAGGTTTGGAGACTGTCCTGGAACTTCTCTTTGAAGACCAGGCTGGCCTCGAACTCACAGAGATCCTCCTGCCTTTGCCTCCTGAGTGCTGGGATTAAAAGCGTGTGTCACCACCACCCAGCTATTTTAGGCATATTTAAGCACAGCACAATTTGGTGAAAACTTCCTTGGTGGTAACTCAATCACTTGTGCATATGAAACAAGTTAAAAAATAAAGATTGTATGTGACTTCATCAAAATTCATTGTGAAGTCCCTAAAGATTGGTTCTATAGACTTACTGAGAAAATCAAGCTTGTGGGCAGATCCAGTGTGGTATTTGACCACACAGATATCACAGAGGTCAACAGGTTATTATGCAGGTCTGCTCCCAGCCTTCTGGGTGTATTGCATTCCTTCTCTTGAACAACCCTGTGAGCTAACATTCTAGGCTCCCCTAGAGCTTATCTGTTAGCTCAAGGACCTCTCTCCCTCCTCCAAGTCCTTTTAAAGGTTCTAAAGTGGGGACAGAATGGCTCCTTTTGGGGCTGCATGATTATTATTGTTACTACTATTTATTGGACATGGTCTTTAACAGCCCAAGCTGGCCTCAAACTCACTGATGACCTTGAACTTCAAGCCTGCCTGCTTCCACGCCTGGAGTGTCAGTGGTACAGGCATGCACTGACACTACAGACTGATACAAGGGATTGAATCCAGGAACCCTTGCATGCTGGGCCAGTGCTCTTCAAACCAAGCCACATCCCCAGCCCCTGCCTGACGATTTTGTCCTGTCAGCTGCACATCTGGCTGAACACCCCCTCTGATGTAACCAGGAGGCTCACTCATTCTGTCGTGTTTCTAGCCTCTCTAGGCAGTCTCTCTTGTGTGGGTCTTGCTGTGTTTTCACATAGCACCCATAGCCGTCTGGGCGTCCAGGGTCATCTCCTACCTCTTTGGCACAGTTACTTCGAGGGTGGGGAAAGTTGCTCTGTGTCTGGGACATGAACACACCTGTCTATTTCACTTCAGCACAGGTGGGAGAGCATCTACTCACCCAACGAGGCCCAACACACAGTAAAGATACCTTAAAAGTCCATGTTAGAGCTGAGCATGACCCTTGCCTGAAATCCCAGAACTTCAGCTGTGGAGATAAGAGTGCCAAAAAGTTACTTAGAGGCCAACCTGGTCTCAGAGTGAACTCCAGGCCAGTAAGAGTTATGTAGTGAGACACTTGCCCTCCCCACAAATAAAAAAAAATATTCAAAAGTCAGGTGTGATGGGGCGCACGTATCATCCCAGCAGTTGGGAGATGGACAGAAGTTCACAGTCACCCTTGGCCGTACAGTTTGAGGCCACCACACCCGGAAGAGGAGGAGAAGGAAGGGGAAGAAGGAAGAGGAGGAGAAGGAAGGAGCAGAAGGGAGAGGAGGAGGAGGAGGCGGGGGAGGGTTTATCACTCAAGGGCTGAGCCCAGCCCTTCAGGACCCCTCCTGTTGTCCCTTGATAAACACCACCCTGTGCAAGGCCATCTACCGCTTTGGATTTCCTGCAG